CTGCATGTGTTGAAGGTGATCTTTTGGCATACTTCCATTGCATTAACAGTGAAATTTCCTTTTACATGTGACCACTGTTTCAGACCTGTGCAGCTGTTACAACAGATGACTTTTGTTTTTAATTGAATACTTCAAACCTGTTCCTGCATAACTATTTTAAGGATTTTTTCAGGCTAGTTATAAAAGTTATTTTAAGTCTAATGTGCTTAAGCCTTCAGTTAAAAGTAGTTCACTCAAAATTCAGTGTAGAAAAGTCAATGTGGTCTGCATAGTAGTTACAGGAATTGCATCTGTCCTTGAAACGCTGTTTTGTTTGAGTGATGGGGAGTGGTTGAGAACTTCCTGCAGAGCAGATAACTTCTATTTTCGTAAATACTCCAGTACTTGAATCGATTGATTTTTATTTTTTTTAATATACTTGAAATTTCTTCTTGCTCTAATGCTCATACTAAAAATCTGATTCTCTTGAAATCCTGTTTGCTCTTTGCATATTTATTGGCTCTTTGCATATATTAGAGAACATGCAATACAGTCTGTCTTGCCATTGTCTGTTGAAGTGCAGGTTTGATCCAGCCAGTATAGAACTAGCTCTGTAGGGGTGAGGAGGACTGTGCTGTGTATCATCCTTGATTGTTCCTTCAAGGAGCATTGCACTGTAAGTACATCAGAATGACAAATTGATGAACTGCAACAGTATCTTTTTGTCAATGTTCCACATAATGAAAATGCCATACTTGTGTGAATATTATGTTGGAATACAGTGCTGATATCTTAGGAAATCGTAATTGCTTCTTAATTCAGAAACATAGGTTTGCGTATATACATATTTATATACACATAATGTGAGCTTTGTGGGTAAGTATTCCTGAATGTTATAGCAATAGAAAAAAAAAAAAAAAAAAGAAAAAAAAGAAAAAGAATTATGTTGCTGTTTATCTGAGTAATAGTATTTTCTTTAGTACTCTTCAGACAGCTGTATCATTCAGTGTATTAAAGTATGCATATCGTAACATTGAAGTTTTTGGAACCACTTGATAGACAGAAGTTGTTTTTGTCATCAGATAGTTTGCAGATATGTAGTGATGTAGGTATGTTTTAATTTTATAACTTACTTTATCTTCTTGGAACAACGTATTGTTGCTTTGAGAATAAATTTTTTTAGGGTGGTTGCCCAGAGGAGTAAAAGTTAAGGCTTGAAATTTGAAGTAGTTTATTCAGGTAATTAGCAATATATGTACTGTGCTGTAGAAATGGAAGGAATTATTTTTATCCCTTTAACAATTAGGAATTATTCTGGTACCTTATAAAGAATAGGAGGGTATTTTCTATCTTTAGTGTAGGGTATGAAGTATAATAGTTCAGATATTTTGCATGGTATTTTGTAGATAATCTTAAAGAGTGGTGCATTTGTTATGTACTGAACTGAGCAAAATTGAATTCACTGGATTCTTTATCATTCACAAAATGGAGGCTGTTGATTTTGATTCATTTAAGGTATAAAATCTTTATTAATTGCAAACAGTGCAATTATTTATACTTCACAGTGCCTTCCCAGACCTTCCACCTTAGGTTCTGCTGCAAAAAAGCAACAGGTAAGCACAACCTAAGGAAGTATATAAATTTAAATATTTCAGTACATTAATGTTGTCCCTGTGAGATCTTTGTGGTTGTGTATTGAAAAGCAATCTTCTGCTTACCCAAATGCATTGTTACTCACGGTTCCATTTCAGTGGAAAGTCTCTTTAAGTTTTTAAACAACTGTTTATATTTCTGGGTAAATATGTTTTTTTGTTTTTTGTTTTTTAAAGAAAAGATGAGTAGACTGCAGTAACTGAAGTCAAGCAGAATAAGTAGTTGTTTTTTGTTCTTTTTCCTCAAATAGCTACTTGTTGCAATTAAAGAATCAAAACTTTTACAATATGCAGGAATTACTTGTGATAGAAATGTCAACAGCCTTCACAAATGTTTTTTATAGTAGGGCACTGTTCTGACTCAGCCCATAAGACGTAAATACAAAGAATATGACTTCTTGTTGCCGTTGAACTTGATGACTTGTCTTATAGTTGCAGTGTTTTAGTGGCATTTTTAGATAACTTAGTTTGTTAATTCATACTTGACATAGTAGGAAAATAGAATCTGGAGTTTCACAGATTAGTATGTTTTACTTGGAAAAGCATGTGCACCAATTAAATGTTAACAATACAGCAAATAATATTTTATCCATATATCAGTCAGTGTATCTTGTTTCTTGATACTTTAACTGAATTGCTGTATATTTTGATAGTTAAAATGTTTGTATGTCTTACAGATGGTCTGGTACAGGTTTTTCCTCTTTTTTTTTTTATTTTTTTTTTAGCTTAAAGTAAAGCAGCATCTGTTTGGTTTTTTGTTGTTGATTATTCTGTTTCTGAAATGTGCTGCTCCTCTTTCAAAAGTCCTGCTTATCTGTACATTCAAGAAAAATATTCAAAAATACTGCCTTCATTTTCACACACAGTGCTGAAGATGCTGCAAGCACCAAATCATAGCTCATAGAATCAGGTCCTGAGATAGTTACTACCAGTAAAGAGGAATCCTTTGAGTGTATGCCATTGGTGAGCCGATGAGCATGGACCATAGAAGGGCTCCATGTAGAAGGTAAAATTGGCAAAAGCATAACAGATTTGAAATGTATCCCATGGTGTAGGGTATAATTTTTGTTTTGATCACTTTTCATTCTTTAAAGTATTATTTGTTTGACCATAAATGTTCCATGATCTGTTATTTTTTTTAATTGTGATTTAATAATATTAAACAAGCAGTTTTAATTTGTATTCTTCTATATGGTCAAGCTTAGATATCTTGACTTTTTGAACTGAATCAATAGTTGTCGTTTAGTTTCTCAAGCTACTTAATATTTGATTATCTGTAGTGTGATATGTGATTTGACTTCATTTTTGACACAAGAAAAAGTTAGGTGTGTACCATTTGGATTTTGATACTGTGAATTTAGTGTTGGGGTGAGTCATTTCTTCACTTCATTTTACATGGTACTTTTTTGCTTTTAACTGTCATTCCTGAAATACTACTAACAATATTTCAATTGGTAAGTTTAGCCAGTGGGAGGAAATGAGGAAGAAAGCCAGTTTATTGGAATGTTGCTAGGGTGTGGAAGACGAGTTTCTTACCTCAGCATATAGCACTTGAGGTGTATTGACTGTCACTGCAGAGCTTACAGGCATGCTGTTGTGTACTACATGAGGTGGTTATTTTTCAACTCTCCAAATTTGTAGTTCTTAGGAGAATTTTAAGAGAAGGAAAAAAAAAAAAACCCAAAAAACACCAACATTGTTGGAGTTACTTTGATGGCAGAAGTTAAGTAGACTTTCTTAGAAATGTAATGAACTTGTCCATAAGCTGCGTTTATGTGGTTCTTGCTTTTTTTTTTTTTTTTTTTTTCTCTTCCCTTTATAGTCTTAACAAATTAGGTAAAATTTAAAGAATATGAAAAGTTCTGTAAGGGAAGCATGTTTAAGTAGGGAAAAGATTTTTCATATACCTTTCTGCAGCCTAGACTGTAGTAGGACATGAAGTAAAATGTCAGGTGGATAATCTTCAGTCTAGCATGATCACAGGTCATGTTTTGTTCAAGGTGAGCAGGCAGACAGGATCGTTCTTCGCTTACACAGCCTCTCTTAACATGTTTCATCTTTTACCAGTAGTATTTTACTGTATCAGATGACAGAAAATGTTTCTCCCCTGTTCTCTTCCAAAGTAATTTTAAGTTTTCCATTGCATGCTAAGGGCTCCTATTTTGCTTTTGTCTGGAAGTGGGGGGAGGAAGGGAGGACTGGGCCTTTCAGAAAGCCTGCAGTTGATAGGATTCCTTCCTCCCTAGTAATAGCTTATAAAACTCGTATGTATGCACAAATATTTCTCTTGCGTGCATGTGAAATGCATTTTCGTCCTGAGAAAAGTGTTCTCTGCAGAAACTACCCGTGTGTAAAAAGAAGATTGGCTTTAAAAGGCAACTGTGATGGGAACAGTGTCTTAGGGAGATGCAGCTTGGACTTGAGGTAAATTGAATGCTTTACAAAAATGTGGTTTTGAGCTTGCATTGACATTGTATGTAATATGGGTACACGTTAACTGTATGATGTTTTTTGTATGGTTTTTCTCAATAAATGTAAACTGATGGATAATAATAGCAATGTTTTTGTCTTTCTTATGCTCCTACCCTGCCTCCATTAGAAGTTACAGCTCTAGAGGAAAGATATGGCAACAAAGACTCATGTGAATGAACATCACCCACATGAAAGTCTATTTATATGGCTATTAAAATACTCACTGAAAACATCATGCAACTTATAACTTTTTTCAAGATTTCTCTGAATTTTACAACTATTTTGAGGCAAAAGAGTGACTTCCATAGGTAACTATACTAATGGCAGTCAGCATGTTTACCATAGTAAAATTTCTTAATAATTTTTACATGATTCCATAAAAAACTACTTTAGCTTATCATGTTTTGTGCTAAGGCTCTGCATGTGCTCTTCAGTTGAAAATGTGGCTTATTTGTGAAGTAACTCTTAAAGAAGCTTATGCTAAGAAGTTCAGATGGGTTTAGCACAATGACTTTAGCATTGATACCTTAGAGATCTTACTGAAAAATAAACTACGCCTCAAGCAGGTGTAGTTTAGAGATGCAGCAGTAAATTCACTGCATCAAAAGCAAGTTGAAAAACGATGTACTTCCTGAAATTGTTTCCTTCCTATCAACTGAATGTTGGCTCGTTGCCAGCTGTTTCTGTGTCTTTTAAGAAATGAAAAAGATTTTTTTTTTTTTTTACAAGCGAATGTTGATGCTGTAATGATAACTGTAGGCCTTACTGAGATTATTCTTACTGTTTGGATTACCAGCTGCATGGGTTGATAAGAGCTTAAGAGTTCAAATGCAAGTCTATTTAAAAAAAAACACGGCCACCAAACTAATGCTCTTAGACCACAGAACAATGAAAATGAGCAGTTATGTAATCTTTTATTGTTTAAAAATAATACACTGAGTTCTTGAAAAATCATCGATAAGTATTTCCTTTTGCCAGTTCTATGCCTCTGGGATAAAGTAAGACAGCTTAAATATTTAGTGCTCATGCAAAACTATACCAGTAGATTTACACTACTACAAAAGTTTCCAGATTGTGTATTTAGCTTTATTCTATTACACAACAGTTGGTCTTCAAATATGGGAGCGCTACTATCATTCAGTTTTTTCTTTTAGTTGATCTTTCACACATTGATTCCTTCTTTTTAGCCTGCCATACTAAATTCTGTACTGAGCAAGGAACCTGGATGCACAACTTGAAGGTTATTCATATCTGATGCAGGAATGACAACGCATATCCTTGCTTTCTTTAGTTGGCCCCATCAGAAAAAGAGATGATGCAGTAAGAAAGTTTTGAGGGGAAGAAAGATTCCAGATAAAGTAGAGCATTAGTAGTCATCAGCTAGAAAATAAAAAGGTTAAGAGAGAGATTAATAGATTTTTCATAATAGGAAAGATACAAGAAGAGCATTTGAGATTTAAGCAAATTAAAATACTAACTCTTACTTTCAATGGTGAGAATACAGGTGCTAGCAGATGTGCCTCTGTTGTTGACTGCTTTACACATATATTCACCTTCATCTTCTGGGAAGGTTTCGGGCAAATAAAGGCAATAGGTTTCTCCTCTTTCAATATATTGATAGTCCTCAGAGTCCTGCAACATTTCCCCCTCAAACCACCATGTGACTTGAGGTTTTGGTTCTCCAGTAATTTTAACTGTAAATCTCACTGGCTCACCATCAACAACTGATGTGTTTTTCAGTGACTTCTTGAACCAGGGAGCCCCAGATCGAGCTTGATCTTCCTCATCTTCACAAGTAGAACCATTAATAACGCTTCCCTCATCATCATCTTCTTCTTCCCTTTTCTGTTTTAAAATAATCCAGTTTAGAATTTTCAGAGTAGCAATAGCAGCACGACTGCTAGTGACATGTAGTTGATTACAGAAAAGCTGTTGTTTTTAAGAAGGGGAGATGCCTATCCATGCTAGAAAACAACATTCTGAATGTGGAACAAGCAGCAAGTGCTGTCTAAACTTTGTTTTAATGTAGCTGGTATGGTTGGTGTCTTAGGGGAAAGTACAGGCATGAATAGTGATTGCATTTTCAGAATATTCAAAGGAAACTGCAGGTTCCTTCCAACATATTTCTCATGCTCTTCAGAATACTAACTCAAAAGCAATTACACAAATACAGTAATTTATGGAAGTATAATGCTCGTTTTATACTGATGGCTACAATGCCAGAAGTGGTAATCAGAAGCCGAGTTAAATGACATTGAGGACTGAAGAAAAGGTACTTTGTAATCTCTACCTTCTGTAATGCAGCATCAATTTCTTTTTGTTCGAACTGCATGCGGAGTAATTTTTGTTCTTCAATTCTCCTCTGTTCTTCTTCTTCCCTAGCCCTTGCCATTTGCTCAAAACGTGCCTTCATATTTACTTTATGAGTAAATGGAGCCTCAGATTTCTTGGCTGGTCTCACATCTACCTCGTCATCCTTGGGGGAAAAAAAAAAATAGGAGATACTCATGTTTTACTTTTAAATGTTCACAGCGATAGTATCAGTAAATTTAACTGTGCAAAGCCTCCCTGAGTCCTCTTGGTTATTTTTCTCCCCTCAGATTTGTTAATGTTGGATTTAAAATGAAGTCTCTTAATAATTTCTCAGGTTCTGAGATGGGTGATTTTTTTTTCCCCCTAAAAATTACCAAAAACATTTCATTTGATGAACCTCAGTCTAATATTTCAATTACAAGTTTTTCTAAAAAAATTTGCTTGAGTCTGCAAGGTATGGATTCAAGAAACAAAGTATTGTACAGATACAAGTCTGTACTATGAATTCAGATGTTTCTTACGATGTCCCACTCTTGATGGCACTTTAATAGCAGTATGTTGTAGTAACGCAATAGAAATAACTTTGGCTACAGCTGTAGCTCTGGATTAGAGACGATAAACTGTTAAACTAAGGTAAGGAAAAGAAAAATGTAGGGTTTTTGTGAAGTAAGAAATGGTAATTTGAATACTTGCTTTCTCTTACTGTCACATACTAGAGATATGGAACCTTTCTTCGCATTGTGCAGTTAGCTGGTGTCTTAGAAGTCACTGCTGATTTGCTTGTACAAGTTCTTATTTGTACTATTGGCCTTTTTATTTGTGGCCATGAAAAGCAGGCCTTCCCAATTAAATTATCTACTCCGTGGATTGTTTTTTTTTAGCTGGGCATTTGCTCCATTTTTTGGAAAATAAACAGCTTAATGATCACAGAAAATTATTGTAGAGTAGATGAGGGAGGGGAGAAGATAGAAATACAAAATATTTGCAAAAGTAATTTCAAATGTATTAGAAAAATATTTTCTAGAGATTTTACTTTCCCGTGTAAGCAGCGTACCCTCTTGGGGCAATGCTAAGTGCTCAGTCACTAAACTTTATGTCATGCTGTTCTGGCTTCAACACTTAAGCAGGTTGTTGACCTTATAGAAATGTTAGTGTCACTCGTTAAATGAAAAGTTTAAGAAGTTCTGAACTGATACTGAAGTGAATGATTGCAGATATTAAAGCCTCAGTGTGGGGCTTTGATTTATCTGGTGGAGAGCGAATTAGAGTTCAGAAGGAGCAGCAACTTGCATGACCATCAATAGAACAGACTCAAAAGTCAGCATGTTTCAGCACCTCAGGCCAGCAGTTTGTTAAAGTGCTGAATTGAAGTGTGAGCAGAAAAACACATCTCTGCTTGAGTGCAAATGATTGATGATAAACTGGTGCAGTTTCTCTTAGAGATGCCACCATCATACATCCAAAGAAAGGAACAGAGAAGTAAGGACAGAATCGTGTTGGAAATACAGCAAATTTTGGTGAAAGCAGTAGTATGGCCCACTACTATCAGCTGTGCTAGTTAAGTCAATCATTACCATACAGAACACAAATTACCTCTTGAAACTTCTCAGCTTCCCTTTCTCTTATTTCTTCATCCATTGCTCTTCTTTTGGCTCGTTCTTCTTCAATCTTTTTCTGTATTTCTTCTTGAGATAATTGTCCTATTTTCTCAAACTTGCTTTTCAGATTCTTCGCTTGAATAGAACCACTTCTTTTTAGCTTTATTAATTCTTCATATTCTTTGCTTAGCTCAAAAGTTTCAGACTCCTCTTCCAGCTGTTTAGGAATAACAGAACATATAAGATAGAAAATATATCCTGGTTATTTTCACTACCTGTTCTCCCCACAGATTGGTGTAACTTTAAGCACTTGAACAATTCTTTTAGCTTGGATTTATTTCAAGTTGAAGATCTTTTCTCCCCAGTAACTTTTCTCTCAGTGTGGTCTGGACTATACTGAGTTTATAGCATCTTTAAGCTTTAATTTTAAAATGTCTTTTCTCTGGTTTTACAGGAGAAAAAAAAAAACAACAAACAAATGAGATTTCAGGATGTCACAGCTGGAAAAGAAGTGACCTTTCTGGACACTGTAGTCAAACTATGTCTGCAGCTGTAATTGTTTCTATTGTGCTCTATCACTTCATGACCTCTGAAGGCAGTAAGAGAATATATTTCAGTTGTCTGTCTTCTTCTCCAGCATGCAAAATGTCCTTGCAAAGCCCACAAGCTTTTATTACTTGCTCTAGCTTTGCTTACAAAAAAAAAAAGTCATTCCCTAATATTCCAAAGGGAATCATATTCTGAAAATTACCACCCACAACCAAATCAAATTGGTGTATGCTTCATGAATGTGATGTTCCAGTCATCTGGTATGCAAGGCAAATTCTGTGTGTGATTCTTAAAATCAGCTGTGGCAGCCTACAAATCCTTGATACACTCATTAGAAACAACTTGAGGTCACTGTAATTCTCTCCAAATTATTCAACACCGCATTTCCCTGAACAGGGCAGGAATTTTGTTCTTTTGTTTTTGGTTTTGGGTTTTTTTTTTTTTTCATTTTCATTTTTTAACTTTGAATCTAGGTGTTTCTGTTTTCCCTGGGTTGGAAAGACAGTGTATTCATTTTATTAACACAGAAGAATTTGCAGGTAACTAAAATAAAATGCTGAAAGGACAAATTTGAAATTGTTTTTACTTTAAGAGTATCAAGGGGATACAAGTTTTTTAGTAGCTAGACCACTAATTAAATGACTGCAACATTATAAAAAGATGTTTTTGATTTTCATTCTTTTCACATAATACAGAAGCATTGATTTTTAAAATCCCTTAAAAAGGAACTCCCAGTTAAAATCTTGAACTCTGAACTCTGAACATTGTATTTTTCTTCAGAGCATGCTTAACACATCTTTTGATGTACAAACCTCTCCCATTTCTTGTCTTAACTGCTGGAATTCTTGCTTTTCCATTTCCAACTTCTGCCTACGCTCCTCTTCTGTGCGTCTCTTTTCTTCTTCCATCTTTTGTCTCAGCATCTCCTCAAAATTGATTTCCAGTTTACCAGGGATGAGAGATTCTTGAGAAAATGTTTTAAACATTTCTGGTGATTCATCATCATCCAGCACCTGCTGGAAATGCAGATTGTTAACGGCGGAGGGACTTGGGAGGAAATATCCAAGTGTTCTGCCACAGAGCGGAGAGATGCAGGAATGGAGCAACAGGTCTCATGTTTTGAGAAGGAAAGCGTTTGGGGGTTTTGTTCTTTCTTACTACAGCACTAAACTTTTTATAATGGAGATGAATGGAGAGTATGTCCTCTAAAAGCAGCTTTGGGACTCAAAGCTGTAAATTCCTGTTCATTCCACAGGCTGTCCTTAAATGAAGTATTTGTCTAAATGGCATTGCCTTTAACACTGAAGTATCTGTAGTCTTTCTTCTAGCAAACTGTGTTATATTTCTTTGATACCACTATTGCTAATATGTATAATTGAGAAGAACTGTCTGTGAGAAACTTATGCACAAATGGAAGATACAAAATCATGTTGCCAGTTCATTGTAGTGAGGATTTCCTTGTTTCCCTGTCCTTTTCTCAGGCTGCACAGCCTGGCTGGGCATTAATGATCATTCTGCATGAGAAGATGGCTTCTTTTTCTGACCAATTTATAAAAGGATAGTATGGCCCCAGAAAAGCACTTCTTAATTACTTCCAAAAGCAGGAAATCTAGAAACAAGTATTTGATTCCACTGTACTTGTTAAAGCAGGGGTGATAGCATGGCCATCTGAGTTGCATAGGAAAACGAATTCTAGGTAAAAACCTATGTGAGTCTACTTGCATGTGTAACTATGTAAACCTGTCACACTGATAGAGACTTTCTGAACAAGAGCAGTCTGTAAGGTGTGAGATGAGTTCAAATACTGATCCAGAACTGCACAAAAATAACAGCTTTTGGCATCATTGAGTCAGTGCATGTTTGAAAAGTCTTGTGGCAAACGTTGTGGAGCCCAGTCTGCCTGAAATTCTGGACATTCCTAACAGGAGCCATCATCCAAATTCTAGAAGGGATTAATGGATCAAAGCTTTCAATTGAGAAAGTGTTTTAACTTTATTAAATATATATATATATATATGCACATTAAAATGCTTTAGTACTTCCCTTTCTCCTTTATTGCTGCTTACTGCTGTCGTAATTTGCACTTTTTACTGCTGCTTGTGCCATCTTTGTTCATACTGCTGTTCTGACCTATTTTGCCTGTTTCTGTTTTTATTTGATCCTTCAGTAGTTGTTCTGTGGTTTTTGTTGTTGTTCTTTTTGGCTCAACCAAATACTCTTAGTCACTATAGATTTCCTTCAAATTTTCCCTGTGAGTAAGCTTTCAGTTGGACTTCAGCCCCACCATTCCTTCCATTCTTCATTCGTTTTGCATAATACAAGCATAATTGTAGAAATTGTGTCATGGAGAAGTGGAGTCCAAAAAATGAAGCTGTAAACTATTTCCTTCAGTGAAAACAATGCAGAGCTGCATGTTTTTTAGGAGATAACTACAGCTAAGTTGATAAAGAGCTGTGCATGTCTCTTTCTGATGGTGTATGAATTTGTATGCTTATGAAGCAAGAAGCATTAATTCAAAATGTATTAACATATTTGTGTATGAACTTAAAAAGTGCATATGACCAAACAACTGCATCTGTTTGGATTTTTGAGCCAGTAATGAAAGGATAGTAAGCTAACTTATTCCTGATTTAAGAGAAAAAAAGAGAAAGGATAATATCAGCTGAATTGTGTGATACACAAAACCCTTGTGGTTAGCTTGGTAAATATTATATGTGAGACTATGGCTTGGTCTGGTTTGATTTCTACAAATGGGAACAAAGAGCTGTGGGAAAGAGTCCTGCAACAGCAGTGGTGTGCGGCTCTGCCAGCCAATTTTCAGTGGGCAAACAGTGATTGATACAAAATAGAACAGCTTTTTGTTCATACGAAGACAGGTTCTTCACGTAGTTACTAATGAAAAGCGACTGACAGTGGAGAGAAATGAATGCTTGAGTCTGAAAAGGATCAAGTTGATAGTGGGAGGCGTGGAAGTAGCAGAAGAAAATGTAAAACTGGGAGGTCCCTGCAAAAGAAGGTAGAGGTAGCATTTGTGGTTTTCAGCAGCAGTGTTACTACTTCTGTTGGTGTGTATTTTTTCAAAAAGAACTAAAAGTCTGAAGAGGTTCTAAAACAACAATTTAAACACTTAAAAATGAACACAAGGTTTTAGTAATTCTGAGTGAGATGACTAATGTGTTCTTAAAATGCTAAAAAGCACATCAGCACATTGCTGCTATATTGTGTAGGTGTGGATAACGCTTGTATTTTCTGTTCCAAGGAAACTCTGTATTCTTTCAGGATGCTAATTAACAGAAAATTTTTCAAGCACGTGTGTGTTAAAAACGTCTTCAGTTAATTTTTTAGACTAGTGAACATCTTTAAGTCTGCTGTTACAGTTGCAGGCGGTGATGCATCAAATGGATTAAGCCTTGATTAATCAATGAGATTCTACTTGCCGGAATGCTTAAGCTTTTGTTACACAGGCAGAAAAAATATTCTGAAGAAAGCAGTAAAAAACAGAAAGCATTCTGCTGTTTGTGCCTTTGCTTTACTTTCTTTGAATTATCTGCTCACTTTTCATAAAGATTATAATAGCAGAAATCCAGTAGCACTCCTTTTCCAGGGGCTTAAGGTACTGTGCTCCCACTTCAGAGGTGTGCACAGACCACAGACATTATTTTCAATATTTGCTTTCCAGTACAAAATCAGGTATAAATTTACACTGTAATTTTGTGGGTAGTCTTTCAAAGCAGAGGTCTTGTCTTCAGCCCAATTTTCAGCCAGAGGGAGCACTGCTAACAGTACTAAAAGCCATACAAAGTGTTAATTTGCTTCACAAGCATCACCTTGAATTATGGAGAAAAAGAAAATGAATTAGGCATGCAGATGGTCTTTCAGTAGAGCCACACCGGGGGATGAAGGAAGAGATTGCCAGATATGTGTGTTACTCCACAGCTTTTTGTGGTACGTCTTGCCCTTTGTTTTGAAGAATACAATACTTGCATTTTAGTTGGTATTAGACTAATTTAACACTGTGTTTCCTAGCATCCACCAGAAAGTAGCTGGCTTATATCCAAAAGCCTGCTGAAACTTGAACTTCTTGGAATAAGCAGTGAAAGACTCTATGCAATTTTGTGTATGAACTACTGCTCCCACTCTCTGATGTTAGGCATCCGTCTCTCCTTCCAAATAATGTCACTGTGTCAGTCTTTGCTCCCTGAAAATTTATCTTTGATATAATCTTAATTCAAATTCTATTATCATATATCACACGGATCAGTTCCAGATTGATGTTCTGTATAAAAAGTTGCAACAGTAAATTCCACAAGTTGCCTTTTCTGTTTCTCTGAACAAGTAATGAAATACAATAAAAACATCAATTAGCTGACTTCAGCTTCTTCGTTTTTTTCCTTCCTCAAGGGCCACAGATGACCTCAGAATATGCACTTGCAGTGAGCATTCTTCTAGTGTGGCATTAATTACACTTAAGTGAGTAAAAAGTGTAGGGAGATTAACTTGGAAAACTGCAGCTAAGGAGACTGGAATTTCTTCCTTGCACCCAGCCAAAAACAAAAACTTCCTTCTGAAGATACTCTGCTTTCCGTGTTTGTTGCACCTAGCATAGTACTAGCAGTTGGAAACAGCATCTGGTTTTCATTTGAGATCTTTTCTAGGCTTGCTTTGAGGAAGGATAATTTCTTGATAATTTTTTATGGAGAACCTTGATTAGTTTAGCTTCTAATAAGTCATAGGGTAAACTAATAAATAAAGTTAGAGCATATACCTGATTGTATTTAAAAATTTTCCCTTTCATTGTGGAGACTGATGGAAAATGATAAACTAAATACTAAACAAAGTATCATACCATGTTCTTCCGTGCTTCAGCAAATGCTCTTTTCTCTTCTTCTATACGTCTTCTTGCATCTTGTTCTGCTCTCCTCTTTTCCTCTTCTCTCCTCAGTCTTTCCATCTCCTCAAAACTGAGCCTAAGTTTACCAGGACGGAATTCTCTACCAGAATTTTCAGATTCTTCATGGCCACCTTCATTTATCTATAGAGAAAACAGAGAGGGGGAAAAATATATATATAAATATATACAATATATAAATTTATATATATACAATATATATATATGTAATACTGAGATAAGGTTGGTTTGTTTATGTATCCATTCTGAATAATAAATACTCCACTAATTCCTTTCTGATTCTTTATAATTGTTTTTTTCTCCTGGAGAAAAAATAGAGACTTTCAAGGTGAGGCTGGATCAGGCCCTGGGCAGAGTGATGTAGCTGTGGTGTCCCTGTTCATTGCAGGGGAGCTGGACTAGATGGCCTTTAGAGGCCCCTTCCAACTTCATTTGAACCAGCAGAGACAGGAAATATATTTCAGAATCCCATATCCCTTCTATATTTATTTAAATCACTTCAAGGTGTACTTCAAAGCACGATGTCTTATCAGGAAAAGGACAAACAATTAAGTAGCTGTTTCATAGTTTCAGGGTTGGATTATTTCCTGTAAACAAGCACTCCCTATTCACTTTCTTCACATCATTTTCATTGACTTTTATACCACTGAGTTTTCACCAATGCACTTAGCAGTTTGAAAGAAGGCTGTAGTTTTATAGCAAAACTAAAGTAACATCTTGAATCCAGACTGACGTTTTTGTTTCTCTTCTTTTTAGACATTTAATCATCACTGAAGAAAGGGAAGTGAGATATTTCATTATTTCTTATCTCCAGTAAACATTATCTGCCAAGAGAAACCCATTGTTTGCAAACTGCAGCGAAGAACAAAAGAATGAACCATCTTCAGAGCATATCATGAGGTGCCTCATTTATTATTGGTGGAAATTGACTGGGAACTGTCAAGAGTATTAATACTCCAACTATCTGCGTACTGCAAGCAAGCCTGGTATGTTGGGTAGACAGCTGAGGGAATTACAGAGGTCTTTTATTTGGAACTGGTAAGGGAAAAGAAAAAAAAAAAAGAATCTAAGGAATTGAAGTGCTGAACTCTTCCTTTAAGGAAACTTTTTACTTGACATTTTGACAACCACTGATACCAGATGTAACTGCATAGTAGAAAATGACCACAGGGGAGACTTGTTTTACTTTTGAATTTGTAAATTCAATTGTCAGACTTTTATATGACTTGGTTAATAAATGCAGATATATGAGGGTGGGAGATGTGAAGAAAACTTCAATTAGAATGGCTACAGTAACTTCACGGATTTCCCTCTCCTTCATTTTCTTTTCTCTTTCACTCATATCTCTACTCCAGAAAGAAAACAAAAATGAGTATTATTGACATAATGCCAAGGTTACTGTTATGGAATGATTAGGTAATTTTTTTCAAGGGTAGAGGGAAGACAAGAGGCTGGGGTGAGGCGGGTATTAACTTCAGGTTTGGCATCTGCCTGAGCTTAGAACCCTCCCAGTTTGGACCAATTGGGAATTTCAGAAGTTCAGCTTTCTGGAGGTTCTGTCTTGTGCTGGTTTTTCATTTGTTTTGTTTTTCCCTCGAGCAGCAATTTGTTTTCGAAATATAGTCAATATAATGATCTTGTTTAGTTTAAGAATGTTTGTTTAAGAATGGTAATTTATGTTTACACTGTTCTTTTAAAGTTAAAATTAGCAAGTTCCTAGAAATAATATGTTTGAAGGTCTCATGAAATATGAAAAAACGAGACTCATTAAACTTCTTTGTATGTGAATGAACAAAGTCACAATGTTTGAGACTGTTTAGAGGAAGGATACTTAAACAGAGAACTTCAAAATAAAGCTTTTGCAAAGAGAGTGTAGCAAAATAGCAAATACAGTACTGAAGCATCTGGTGTATCTTATCTTAGCTAGTGCTAAGTGATTCCTTTAGTGTGACTGAAGAGCAAACTATGGTGAGGTCTGTTTATAGTTGAACTAAAATAAGTCTGGCTTATGATACTGGCAGTAGTTTTGCAAATTATATAAAACAGGAGTTGACTGACGTTTTGTTGTTGAATCTTGTAATTTGTAGTACGCTGTTATTCACACCGCTACCTACAAGACAGTCTTTCCTTTTCTTCATAAAAACAAATTTAAAAAAAAAAACCATAATATATTGTATTTATAAATAAATGTGGGAGTTAGAAGTAGCATTTTCCAATTACAGAATGTTTTCATAAAAATTGCTTACTGAAACAAACGAATTTCGTGATCAAATCAGAAAAGTAATTTTCTTCTTGAGGATATACAGCTTAAGGTACTACAAAGTGCAGATATGACAACTGATAACATTGACTACAAATTTATAACACAAAACTTCCTTGTTTTATTAAAATAAGAGAGTTATGCCTGTTTGGTTAGTGAGTTAGAACCAAGATGAGAGCGTCTATTTCAAAACTTAGTGGTGACAGAATTTTCAGCTTGAAATGGAGCTAAGCAATAAGAATCAGGTTTAGGAGTGGATGTAAAGGCATATCCTCGATCAGAATTCTATTGCAACATGCACAGAACATGTACTTACCATTTGCTGCCTCGCTTCTTCAAAGGCACGTTTTTCCTCTTCTAAACGCTGTTTTGCTTCTACCTCTGCTTGCCGCCTTTGGTTTTCCTGTCTTTGTCTTTCAAGTTCTTCAAAAGTTACTTTCAGCTTACCAGGTGACAGAGATGCTTGTGTTTCATTGTCCTGATTTTCACCCTGTATAAGAAAAATGCAGTAGTTGCCTTCTAGATAATACATGTTTATTGCTTAGATGTTCTCAGATGAGCGGTTTACCGTGAGAAATGAAAGGCACTTGGTTTCCTTAAGGAATTGGTTTTGTTCCTCATGTTTAAGCTTCATTTCTTCATCTGGTCTGCCTTTTTGTTCTGCTCTTTCTTTTCCTGTGTCATCAAAGTTTATTTTCATCTTCCCAGGTGTTTTGTTGGGTTTTACAGGCACTATTGTAACCAGTAGTGAATCATCCCCTTCCTGTCCAAAAAGATATTTATTATATTTTCATAAAGCTTGACTTCTAGGTAACTTAATTCTTAAACTGTTGGTTTTTTTTTTTACCTGTGTGCACCAAAAGTTCCAAAATAATTACTTGTACTGAGTATTAACAAGAATAAAACTATATGCCTCTGACAGTCACTAATTTTCTTGTAATATCTGAAAGCATCGAGACTGAATTATACCTAAAAGACAACTGCTGGCAAGGTGTCATTTCTTTATATATTTTCATTAACTATTTCTTATAAGTATTCATTATTGGGATAGGATAAGAATAAGTTGAATTTTGAATGTGTAGGAATTGTAGTGGCAGTCTACTTCTTACTATATAAGAGAGATACAGTGGTTGGGATAAGGTAGTACTAGAAGTTTGTTCTTTGTCAAGCAGATTAATTTGCTTTCGAAGGATGTCTCTGCTTCAAAATTATTTTCATAAATTAATGATAATGATTAATGATTAAATACCAAAATATGCTTCACCCAATTTATTTTTTTCTTTAAGTTAGATACCATAACAACAAGGACACTGTCAAATAACTTAGAAGTAATAGGTTTTGGTGGTGTGTTGTTTTCCTTTTTAACTGTAACAGGAATGTGATTTTGTGGTGGTGACAGGTGATTGGACCTTCAAGCCTAGATTTTTGAAATCATATTTGTTTGCAAGATTTAAAATAGAAACCCATGTGTTAAATGAGTTCATTTGAGGGGAAAAAAAGTTACCAGCATGTTGAGACCACTGTTCAAACATCAGTATATTGACAGAACCCCCTTTTAGTGACAAGCTTAAGGCAAAGAGCTTTATGATGATACTTTCCAAAGCCAGAGGATTTAGAGTGTCATTGTCAGTATGCCTCAAATCATTGTGGTGGCTTTGAATATTTGTATCTGAGGTGTTCTGAACCCTTCAACATATTATTCACGCTTCAGGCTCTAGAACTTAAATAAATTGAGTTTTAAGTGCAGATAAACACTTCTGCATGCTTTAAAAAGTTCTTAGGTCCTTGGTTGATCTGCAGTGAAATACTTGTGCCCTTTTGGAACTCCTCCCAGCCCATATTACAATAATAAAGCAAAGTGAATAAAAATGCAGGTGAACATTTCTTTAAAAAAAAAAGCTGATTACCTCTGCTGCTGATTCAGTTCCCGTATTGTTAAAGTCATCAATCTATTAAATAAGAATTTCATAGGATTACATTAATTTGGCTCTTTGCCTTAGATTTTCAAACATAGAACTGGATTTTTTTTATTTTGTGTGTGTGTGTGTGTGTCAGTGATATGTATGCAGCACTTAAATTCACAGAGATGGTAACGGCTGAGCCTTTGGTGGAACATTTTGGGTAGGTTAGCAAGTTGAGGAACAGGTAACGTGACATGGTACACAAAGCATGCTTCAGCATTCTTAACACTTCAGTGGTGAACCGAGAAAAGTGCTTTAGGTGTTCATTCTTCATGTGAGCATTCCATAATTGTATTCCAAAACAAACAAACCAAAAAACATGAAAGCAAAAGTATTTCTGATTTTAGTGACACTGTCTTCCCCTCAGCTGCCAACAAAAAGTCTGTTGTATTTGGAGTCTTAATAGTGGTAGTTTTATGCAGTAACATTCTTTCTAAAATTCTCCATGATATATAATTCTGTCCTTCAAAGTAAATTAAATATTTGCTGGATAAAACTACTTTTAGCAGGCAATGTAACAATGTTGAAAGTAGAAAAGACTATATAAATTCTTGTTGAAAACTGAGTTCTCCTGCAGTACTGTTTCTCTTTTCTTACAAAAAGCCAAACCTCTTTTCATACGAAAAAAACCCCAACCTAAATTAAATATTCCTAACTTTTTGTAAAATAAATAAATCTTATGGTCCTGGTTATCATCTCAATGTTTACTTGCACTGCAGTATTTGCAGCACTGAAGAAAACTTACAAATGGAATTTAATATGATGCCCCAGTGCAAAATTTTACAAATGACAAGATTTCCTCTACTGGCACAGTTAGAGTCTATTTACGTGTGGATGCAGAGACAGCTCACAAAGTGACGAAGGAATAAATCATGACTTGAATCATCATGATTTTTAGTTTATTTGTACCTTCATATACTTGCCTGATGAGGTCATTTTCCTACTTCTTCCTTGCCTCAGTTTATCTATCACTGAACTGTACTCACTTATTTATAAGCAAAAATTGCCTAAAGTAATGGTTCATAAATCAAAGCAATATTTTCAGATTAATTTAGTAAATACTATAAACACTTACAAACCCCAGCTTGTGCCTGGTTTCTACTCCTACCACATTTTATGTCTGCCTGCTTCTGCCTGTAACTCAAGCTTAAAAAACGATTACCCTAAAGATTATTTAGAGAATATTTGTCTTCACTTTCTTCCCCAGTTCCGTCCCATTCAGTATCTCCCATGTAAACCACTACTATCAGAAATCTTAAAGCGTACTTTTGCTGAATACAAAACTTTTTCTGATTTATTTACAGTTATGCCTTATTTTGATCAGATCACCATACCTCCTGTGCTTTTTTGGCTAATTCTCTTTGAATTTTCCTTTTCTCAATCATATCCTGCTCAATTCTGCGCTTTCTTTCTTCTTCCGTTCTTTTTCTTTCTTCTTCTTGTCTTTGCTTCTCCATTTCTGCAAACTTGCCTTTAACAGTTCCTGTGGTATGAAACACACAATTCAGTAACGAGATCTAATACCTGCCCAGTGGGTTATGTGGCCTTTAAACTTTGGCCTCTCTTACCTATTAGCTTTGGAACATAACCTTTGTCTGTCTTAGATGACTTTGTATCGTCATCTTCATCAGATGCAAGCAGTTCTTTCATCTGGTTGACGAAATACAGAAAAAGTAAACAGTTTTTACACCTTAAATGAGATTCCAATGATACTGTCTTTAAATAATGTGAAAATACTTTCACGTGCAATACTGAATATTAAAATAACATAAAATATTTGCAAAGAAAAGTAACCTCCTGCTTTCTCCTGTTCCATTCTCTCTCTCTAACATATTGTTCTTTTCTTCTTTGCTTTTCATCTCTAGATCTCCTTTGATTTCTTTCTTCCCTTGCTTTCTGCATAGCTTCAAATTTATCCTTTACATCACCCTTGTGAAGCTTGGGCACATAGGACTTTTGGACGGGTTTAGATGAAGAAAGCAGAATCTTGATGAAGATATAGAAGAAATGAAGATAAGAAAAAGAAAGTTGAAACAGATGAACAGAAGCAGACTGGATTAGAAAGAATGTAAGAACATAAATGTACATTTGGGATTATGAACTCTGTGCCACCAGCCATCATCTATTAAATATTTGTTCAAAACTAAACAGTAATAAATACAGAAATATCCTAAACAAGTTTTGGCATTGTATTAAACTTAAAAACTGTGACACATAAGTAAGTATACGAGAAATATAAATGCACACTTTTTTTTTTATTTCTATGGGCTTAAACATTATATATAGATTTGCATTTTTTTTTTGCATTGAAATCATAAGCACTCAAAGAGGTCCTACACCCCTAAGACTGCATTTAAAATAAATAGGCAGACGTGTAATAGAACACGCCTGTGTTCTGCAACTCTTCCACATCTGTAAATGGTTTTAAATACCTCCAATATATTATATACTTATTTCTTTTCTTAATATTCAGAGAAATTCATCCAGAGATTTTATGGTGTTAAGGGTCAAGATCCCGGCTTGCAGGAATCTGATCCTGATAAAGGTAATGAACACATTTTTGCCAATACTTAAGTAAGAGAAGTACCTACTTTGCAGTATTACATTTTCCATCTTTTTACTGCAGTGACTGCTGAAATGTTGTCAATACAGTTATGCTGAGAAAACTGGCTGAAAGAAAGTCTGTTTCATATTTTCCACCTAAACCAACAGCAGATAGTGTAATCATGTTTTGCTTTTGTTCCTGCCACTCATGGTATCATGGCACAAGAAGAAATATTTTAATAATTCTAATAATATTTTAGCCTGAATTTTCCCCAACATGAAGTTTCTTCATATTTTGTTAGCTTAGTTTTGCATTCTTCATTCATTTTTAATACCAATAAGAACATTTCCCACATTTCATCAAATCAGGTGATCTTCCTTAAGCTGCTCTCAAGCACCCTTCAATTGTCTTATGGTAAAATCAATAACAGCCAGACTTGCAGGATAATTGTATTTTACAATTGTTTTTAACTGCCCTATTTACAAGCATCAGTTGTAAATTCCTATATTACTTTGATTACTTTAAAATTAGTACATACCTCAGTTTTCTGTGCAATGTCATTCATGGTTACGGTATTCCGTTCTGCACCTGGTATGTTTAAGATTGCTTTCAGTTTCTACCTGAAAGAAACAGTTCTAGTTATATTCCTTTCTTTTCCTTTTAAATGATGCTTTGACCATCTTCCTGTAAATAAGTTTGCATGGGCTGAAACTGATGTATCACAATTTCATTTGGTCCTTTGAGGTTCACGAAGAAATGAATAGGTTCTAAGTATGCAACAGTAATTAAAAGAACAAGCTTGTGTTTCACTATTCATGCTCATACCCCTCCACACAGTCCCAGATATTGGTTTTTAATTTCCATTTTAAAAAGAAAGTCCGAGCTCTCAGCCAAGCTCTGGCTGCCCTGGCTGCCTGTTACGAAACTGTTTTTCTCAATACTGTGCTAGCAGAAAGGAATGTGCTCTGCACCTCTGCTGCTCCGCTTCAGGCTGAGGTCTGAGCCAGCGAGCTCAGGTTGCAAGAAGTCCGCAGAACGCCCGGGCCAAACACAGCCTGCTGGGGATGCTGCCTTGCCTTTGTATGGCTTTGGTGGAGAAGCAGTGCTTTCTTCCTACTGCCATGGAGTGTGCAAGAGAATGGAGGTAGGCTTCAGCTAGGTTTTGCATCTTGACTTACCTTGTGAGGTTACTTGTACAAATCTGAAAGAGGAGAAAAATCACAACCAAAACTTTTTTTTCTGTTTGCCCCATACCGCATGTATGCAGTTCTGAGGGGATGAAAACTATTAAGTAGAGAGAAACGTTTCAGGAGCAACTAAAAACTATTTGGTACTATAGATAGCGGGAGTGCCATGTCACACAAGGATGTGACCAAAAATGGCAGCATTCCCTGTTCTAGAGGCCAAACCATCACTTTATGAATGAACTGAATGTGACTGGGGTGTAACGAGAGCAGACAAGTTATATTGTGGTTTTATTCAAACCTAAAAGAAGAGTCTTAGTCCATGGATGGTAGTCATTTAGTAATCCTATTTATAGCCCTGATTCTAGGAAGTGAATCTTCACAAAACTGTGCTTTGATTCTGTCAGTTCTCAGACTCCATAATTACTCCTTGGAAAAAACGAACAAACGAACGTGTTCCATCTGAGCTGATGTCAACATTTTTCGCTTAGCGTTCTTACAGCAAAAGTTATAAAACAGAAGTCTTTCAGTGGGCACTAAACTGGCTTTGAAGCTTTGTAGTTAAGACTTAAAGATTTCTGGCAAAACCATAAGCAAGCAATTCCTAGAAGGCACTCGGTTTCCTGAGTCAAGATGATCATCATGGCTGATGTCTGTGAAAATCAAATTTACTTGAATAGAACCACAATGATTATTACCACAAGAAACATGCTAATGGCTCAGTTACACCTTCAGTATTTTTTTGGCAGCGTGGAACAGAATCTGCTTTGCTTTAATGTACGACAGCTTATTCCTGACTCCCTTTCTCCTGCTAAATCAAGGAAAGCCCCGACTTTGCAATGCGGTCAGTCTGAGTTCCAAGCTCTTCCTATGCACAGTGCACTGAGGAACTGACATCCCCCACCAGCCAGTGTTAGGCACATACAAGACTTAAAAATACTATGATTCTGTGAAATAATTACAAAAGGACTTTGTCACATGAATATGAGCTGAATTTAGATATATTGATGTGGAAATGACACTTCCTTGAAAAGTTAAAAAGAGTGCATTTTATGATCATTTTATAATCTTTGTCTGTAGTATCTTTTGGGGGAGGGAAAAAATAAAAAGGAAAAAAAAAAATGAGCCAGGCAAGTTTTTCATTTTTCCAAAAGATGGAGAAATATGCAAAACAAAAAATACACTGCAATCCTAGAGATGTAAGGAATGAAGGCACTCTGATTCTTTTTTTGTTACATTTTTCCCCTTAAAATAAGATGGGAATGGCAGGGTACCTTATGTTTAATTAAACAGGCTTTAAATTCTCTCATTCTTAATTATGAACAGACTACAAATGTGGGAATTTTTATGTGGCATTAAAAATAATGAGCGTTAGGAATTGTCTTTATGTTGGCTCTTCAGAAATACGCAAAAGGCATCCACTGTGGCTGGTGCTGCTTTAGCTGCTGAACGAGATTCTTAGATATCCCGAGATATCTAAGCCAGAGCAGTCACAATATAGGAATCAGGAGTGTTTGGCTACCACAGCCTGCCCTGACCGACAAATCCTGAATTCTGGGAATTCAGCTTCAATATCTGGCTTCTCATTTTCAAACGAGTATGTAAAGTCATTGCCCAAATCAGACTGACAAGCATCTTTTTGTAAAGATCTTCTTTGTAGAGTGATATGTATAGAATGCATTTCTGTTTGTCACTTGTGGACGCAGAAGTACTAAATGTAAGCTCCTACTTACTTTCAGATAAGCAGATTACAATTCTGTTCTGCCTGGAAAGACAGATAACTTTAAAAGCATTCTTGGTCTAAAGGTCCCTGTATGCCATGGATGTCCAACCTTTTGGCTTGCCTGGGCTGCACTGAGTGAAGAGGGAATTGTTGTGGGCCGGATATGTGTTGGTTGATCCAAAAGTAATGCCTCCTATTTATCTCTGTGAAAAAGACAACCAATACAAAGAGCACTGTATCAGTTCGAGAGAACAAATTCTCAGCTACAGAATGCTATTTTTCAATACAGTCACCACCATCACCACCGTTAACTGTGCAATTTTACCCTGCATGCTACAGTCATAAAAATCTGCACCACTGGAGTTGATCCATTACAACCACTGCTGAAACACAGCATCCACCACTTCACTGTGCCAGCATCCACTGTTTGGTCTCCATCACCATTCAGCTAGTGTCAGTGAGCGCCATTTTTTCCACATGGAGGAATACAGTTACACACATTGACCTAAAAGTGTGCATGAAGCCAGAGGCCATTTGGTCAGACCGCCCCTCTGCTGTCATTTGCCACGCAGCAGCATGTTACAGAATACTGGGGGGAAGCTTCAGCCTCTACTGCCGTCCCTCCAATGTCTGCCTCTGATGTCATGAGACAATGTAATAAAATAGGAGGCATTACTTTCCAAGCAGCCCTCAGAATACATATTTAATATATATAAAGTAACAACACTAAATTGTTTAATGCTTTTTATCAAAACGTTAAAAAGAGAGCTACAAAACCATAGAACTCGTGAGATACGTGACCTTGTTTTTGTGAAACTAACGCGTCAGTCTGGTTTGATGGCAGTGGGTGCAATTCTTAGTGAGCTCTCAAGGTGTCCGTCAGAGATGATGGATGAAATCTTACTCTTGCTGTGTTTCATCCTTCAGTTGCTCACAAATGTACGAACAGCAAAAGCAATGGCAAGAGGAAGGTATGACTGTGAAGTGAAAGGATCTCCCTCTGGTAAGAGAGGGCTTATAAACGTCTGGTAAAGAGACATGATCAAATTTTTTATTGCAACTCTATACATTACTTGTGAATTTTCTAATGGAATATATTTATGTTGACTGAAAATGGACTCACAAACAAAAAAAAATTATATATATATATATATATTTGCAATCTTGAAACCTCAAATTCCTGTATCAAAATGGAAAGCATGGCTGCATATTTTTTGAGGCTCACGGGGCTGTGTTCAGCCAGTGTATCAAAATCCATAAGCATATTTGCCATAACTTTAGCTGGCACACACTGCACCCCGTGCCCTGATTTCAGCCCAGGACAGCAGGTTGGATGTGCCTGCTACATGTTTTAAAGTACGTTCGTGTATTGTGCTTTTGAGTTTGGGTGTTTTAAGAGTTTATCTTCTTTTGCGTAGGTAAGTGATATCCCATAATAATCAATATGACTTAAAACTAATGAAGACCCTTTGACTTCCTCATTCTTTCATGCAGGTCTGAGAGAACCCTTAATGCAAGGCTGGAGCAGAGAAGTTAGTCCTAACGTTAATCTCTCGTGAGGAATGACTCCATTTCACTTAAAGTACTCCAAGCAATGTCCAAATGCTCACTGAACTCCATCAGGCTTGGGGCCATGCCCCCCTGATGCAGACCTTTTCCCTAACCCCCACCTGCTCCTCCCCTGACACAGCTCCATGCCATTCCCTCAGGCCCTACTGCTGTCACAGAGAGCAGAGCTCAGAACTGCCCTCTGCTGCCTGTGGGCAGCTGCATGCCATGAGGCCTCTCAGCTCTGCATTGAACAAACCACAGGACCTCAGTTGCTCCCCATATATCTCGCCCTGCAGACCCTTCACTACATTGACGAACCTTGGATGCTCTCTAGTTGTTTTACATCCTTATGTTGTGATGACCAAACAAGCGTGTGGTGCTTGAGGTGAGGAGAAGAGTGGGACAATCCCTTCCTTCACCCGC